AAATGTGGTGTACCCGTGAGGATCCCAGGGCAATATTTTTTCTCTATAGGTAAGTTGAACACCGTAAATATATACGCAAAGAATGGACATAGTATAGTAGTAATAAATTATTCGTTCGGTTCTTTTTTTTTACATGATTTTGTAATAATCGCCGAAAGTCCTCAAATTTTTTTATATCAGTTACAAAAACAACAGAGGTACAGAGGCTAATGTGAGGAGCTAAGAGGGTCGCTTGTGAATTCAATGCRTACCAATATCTAAATTTGTGCGTGATCGCAGGCGTGCTGAAACATTGTATCGGTATTTTTATCTAATAGCTATTGGACTGGAGATTGATAATTATTATCTTGTTTTCATGAGATAAGTAGTGGTAATTTGAAGACGGATGTCTTGCTTAGTTCGTCTTTTATTAGAACATTCATTCGYTCTCTCATAACAACATTAAACCTAGGGATTTACCACGTAGCGCTTTGGAGAGTTGAGGTGATTGACGCATTAGTATCGCATGCCAGCCGTGCTCGCTTAAAAATTTGAAATGATGAGAACACAGCGTTGGCAGGCAAACATGAGAGTATAATCGATATATATAGCAGTAATAACGATCCTAAGCTTTCGCCCTCTTTTCAACGATACACAGCGCATGGTAGCACTCATTTTGTTCCAATTTCAAATGAATAATTCCTTTCATGAATCATGCCAGGTAGGGGGTGCACTACAATTATTGCATCAGTATTCATYATTTATTGATATTCACCATAGCACGCGCGTATCACCAAGCTAAGTTAACAAGTTTTCTATGACACGAAAAATATATCTCGACGTGACTTGTGAGATCCTTCCTCTCTGGCCGATTATTGAAATTTGTAATTAGTGTTTTTTTTACTTTCACCACTTTCATAATTCAGTTTTTTCTGATAGAGAAAATGAAGTCTGTTTACCAGAAACTATAATCAATGCTATTTGAGAAAATACTTCATGAAAACCATTTCCAGAAAATTTTGTAAAATTTGACTGAATACCAAAGAAGTTATGAAAGAAMGAAAATAGAGAGTTTTGTATGTATTTATCACTGGAGGCCTAAGTGACCTTGTTTTGGTGCATTTTCAAAACATCAAATACTCACATCTTGCCAAGGATTTATTACCTTCATTAGAAACTCACACACATTATCTAAATCAACAAGATCAATGATTCAAAACGGTTTTCACTCCAAAAACATTGATTTTTAATGTTTATGYAAATTAGCAGCAGCCAGTTATGAAAGTGGTGTATAGGGGTGTTTTCAGGGTTTTTGGATTAAGATTTACGTTTGAGAACACTATCGCTATATAACGGTAACTAAAGAAACACTAAAACCAATTAACGAAAAGAAAGCTTCAGAATCATGCTTCAAATGTTTACTTTCAATAACAAGCCTGCACTAAATAATGTTTTTTTATTGAACTAGACGTGTTTACCTTTTCTACTCAAGTCTGTTATAAAAAATAAAATCAGGTAATCTAGTTTCAATGAAAATTGAATACAAACTTTATTGAAGAAAACTATCAAACGCTTTCGCCTCTTTGTTCCTAAAATTGACTGGGGAAAAAAAAACTGTCGAAAACTGGTTTGAGTGTACGTACTGTTGATTTGACTGCAGTATACACCTATTTCAAAGAACGTTGTCATCGCCAAAGGCGATAGGCGCTAGGTCATTCCGACATGGAAGTGGTTTTGTCGACTACAGACAACATTGCATCAGTATCAACACTAGGGTCCATGCTCTCGATGAGAATAAGAAGCAGAAACAMRAGTCATTCCAGCTATTCTTGGATCTTGGAATGACCTATCTCCTATCGCTTTTCGCCTATCGCTTATTACCTATCGCCTTTGGCGATGACAACGTTTATTGAAATAAGTATATGAATAATAGTGGAGGTAAAAGACCTTGAATAGACATTCCAAACAGTGTGACGAATGAAWGAAGTTATTGGAAACGTTACTGAAAAATTCTTGATTTTGACAAGGCTATAAATCAAAACTCGAAACAACGAACGTTTAGCTGATGAAGGAATAGAGAATGGTAAATTCGCTTTTTTAACCAGTGATCAGCAATGAAAATCTTGACGGTAAATAAAAAAATTATGGGAATAAAATAATTGAAAAGCAAAGTTTGAAAAAAAACTCACCGATTTCGCACTTTTCTCCTGTAAAGCCTCTTTTGCACAAACAGTTGTAGTTTTGTGTGTTACCCTGAACTGTACAGACAGTGAAGTTTGGGCAAGGCCCTTCTTCACAAGGGTTCTAGAAAGAAAGTAAGGAATTGTGTTAAAACCTAGTTGTAGTTATATAAGACTCTAATGATCTGGGMTGATTATTACATGAGGGAGCATTCATTTTTAGGAGGGGAGGGGGAGGGGGTTGGGCAGGAGGAATCCAGGGGATGGCCATTAAATTTCTACTCAGTCCAAAAGGGGTCATCAAATATTTTATACAACATGAAGGGGAGGAACAAGAATTCAAAAAATTTCAGGGGGAGGGTACTTTTATACAGAAAGAAGAAAGGGAACCTAAAGATTTTAGGTTACTGTTTATTTGGGATTTTTGGGAGTTTTGGGATTCCTGCGGCCCACCCCATCCTTAAACAAGAATGCTCCCTAATGATGAAATAATTCTATCATTGGTCTCTCAAAAAGAACTCGGAAAAAATCCGAGTCCTTGATACAGAAATCGAACTTATATAATAATGACCTTCTGGATGGCGGTCGGATGCTCTAACCACTGCGAAGCAAAAGAAAGACTCATRATGAGCCGTCATTTCTTGGGTTCATATTATAATATACGTCCTGCATACTTCTAGGTTTACTGTAATATGTCCACATTCAGTTCAGAATCCGTCTAATTGTATCTATATTTAATCTGGGATGAGTTCCCTGACCGCAAATGCCAAATTTCTGAAAATTTATTGATAAAAAAGCTAGCAACATTTAATAAACAATTAAAAATTACCTTGATGCTGTAATGAATATAATTGGCGTCTCGCTTGAGGCCTTCCTTGTTGGCGTACTTATCAACAGATATC